TCAAAGACCTAGAAGGGCCTAGTAAGTCATCAACTTTATAGGGATGTATTTGAAGATTTTGTAGATCAATGTGTATAGTTTTGGTTTCCTCACTTAACTCTAGAACCTGTTTACATTGTAACTCATGTTGGCTAAATGTTTTTAAGAGCCCTGCTCTTCATTCATTTATTCAGCAAATTTTTATCAAGTGGTTACCTGGGTCACATGCTAGTCTGGGTGTTTGGGATTCATTGGTGAACAAAACAGTTTCCTTCCTGATGGAGCTTACATGTTACGTTATGTTATGTTATGTGTTAAATATTTTATTTTTAAGTAATCTCTACACCCACTGTGGGGCTCAAACTTACAACCCTGAGATCAAGAGTTGCATGCTCCACTGACTATGCCAGACAGGCACCCCTGAGCTTATATTTTATTTATTTTTATTTATTTTTTAAGATTTTATTTATTTATTTGACAGAGAAAGAGAGAGAGGGAACACAAGCAGGGGGAGCTGGAGAGGGAGAAGCAGGCCTCCCGCCAAGCAGGGAGCCTGATGCGGGGCTCGACCGCAGGACCCTGGGATCACGACCTGAGCTGAAGGCAGACGCATAATGACTGAGCCACCCAGGCACCTCTGGAGCTTACATTTTAGACAGGACAGTAAATGAAGAAACATTAAATACCTTATGAAGTAGGTTAGATAGTGTTACAGGCTATGGATAAAAGGAAAAGTAGATAGGGTAAAGGGGAATGGTAGAAGTGTGTCTGTGGATGGGATGGAGGGACAGTATAATCTTAAACTGGCTCAAAGTAGGCCTCATTGAGAAAATGACATTTAAGTAAAGACTTGAGGTGAGAGGACCAGCTATGTGGATACCTGGGGAAGGGTCCTCTCACAAAGGGAACAGCCAGTACAAAGGCTATAAGGTTGGAGTATGCCTGACATTCCAGGAAGAGCAAGGAGTCCAGTGTGGTTGGAGCACATGATGGAGGAGGAGATAAAAATAGAGTTGGGGGTCACCTGGGTGGCTCAGTCGTTAAGCGTCTGCCTTTGGCTCAGGTCATGATCCCAGGGTCCTGCGATCGAGCCCCTCATTGAGCCCCTCCCTCTCCCGCTCCCCCTGCTTGTGTTCCCTCTCTCGCTGTGTCTCTCTCTGTCAAATAAATAAATAAAATCTTTAAAAAAAAAAAAAGAAAAGAAAGAGAGTTGGGGTCAGAAGAGATATGGTGGAAGGTGGTGTAGACCTTAGGGGGAATTGTAGGTCATGGTCAGAACTATGGCTTTCAAGCTAAGCTACTACTACTCATTCACTTTTCAGTAGGTCCTACGGTTTGTGATCCATATTTGTGTTTAGAGTGAATAAAATTGAATGGTGACTGAGTGAATGTGAAATTGGGTATTATGGGGTTTTTGTTTGTTTTTTAAAGATTTTATTTATTTATTTGAGAGAGAGTGGGGGGATGAGCAGGGGAAGTGGAAGAGGAAGAGGGAGAAGCAGGCTTTCTGCTGAGCAGGGAGCCCGATGCGGGACTCGATCCCAGGACCCTGAGATCATGAGCTGAGCCAAAGGCAGATGCTTAACCGACTGAGTCATCCAGGAGCCCGAAATTGGGTCTTTTGAAGAGAAAACAGGCTTATGATATTCTAGCATTATTGCCTAATATGAAGATACAGATGGGGGAGAGGTGAAGTTTATATATGATGAATGTATGTATTTTTATTAGTAAGTGTTGCTGAAGGAATTTGTTTATAAGACAGTCTAGGTAGGTTCCCTGTTAGGAAAAGGTGCTCGTCTTTGATGCTTATTTGGTTTACATACAATTCTTTTAGCATATTTCCTCCTGGAAGGAACTAGCTTGTATCTTCTTTCACGCTCAACATTACTACCAGTTATCTTGCCATTAGAATTGAACTGCAGGTGGTGCTTGGGTGGCTCAGTCAGTTAAGCGTCTGCCTTCAGCTCAGGTCATGATCCCAGGGTCCTGGGATCTAGTCCTGCATTGGGCTCCTTGCTCAGCAGGGAGCCTGCTTCTCTCTTTCCCTCTGCTGCTCCCCCCTGCTTGTGCTCTCTTGCTCTCTCTCTCTCTCTCAAATAAATAAATAAAATCCTAAAAAATAATAATTGAACTACAGAACAGTCTAATGGCTGGTGCAAGCATTGAATTGGCCTGAGTAAGCTTATATAATGAAACAGCTCTGTTGCCCATGGTGTTCTAAAGGCCCTTCTCTGGATCTTCTCTATTTTTTTACTCTTCTTCTGCTTTTGCAACAAATGCAAATTCTATAATTCTCTTCCTCCTGATTTGATTCTGAATTAATTTACATTTGCCTTTAATTCCAGTATAGTTAACATGCGGTGTTATATTAGTTTCACATGTGCAATACAGTGATTCAGCAATTCCATACCTCACCCAGTGCTCATCACAGTAGATGTCCTCCCTAATCCCCATCACCTATTTCACCCATCCTGCCACCCACCTCCCCTCTGATAACCATCAGTTTGTTCTCTATAGTTAAGAATCTGTTTCTTGGGGCCCCTGGGTGGCTTAGTCGTTAAGCGTCTGCCTTTGGCTCAGGTCGTGATCTCAGGGTCCTGGGATCGAGCCTTGCATTGGGCTCCCTGCTCCGAGGGAAGCCTGCTTCTCCCTCTCCTACTCCCCCTGCTTGTGTTCCCTCTCTCGCTGTCTGTCAAATAAATAAATAAAATCTTAAAAAAAAAAAAAGAATGTTTCTTGGTTTCCTTCTTTTTCCTTTGCTCATTTGTTTAAATTCCACATATGAGTGAAATAATAAGGTATTGCTCTTTCTCTGATTTATTTCACTTAGCATTGTACTCTTTAGCTCCATCCATGTTGTTGCAGATGGCAAGATTTCATTCTTTTTGGCTTGTTCAGCTTTTTGGCCTTTCGACTTTCATTTAGCTTATAGCCAAATAATATTCCATTGTGTATGGATATATACCACATCTTCTTTATCCATTCACCTATCAATGAACACTTAAGCTGCTTCCTAATTTGGCTATTGTATATAACGTTGTTATAAACATAGGGGTGCATGTGTCCCTTTGAATTAGTGTGTTTGTATTTTTTTGGTAGATATCCAGTAGTGCAATTACTGGACTGTAGGGTAGTTTCATTTTTAACTTTTTGTTTTTTTTAAGATTTTACTTATTTATTTGACAGAGAGAGACACAGCAAGAGAGGGAACACAAGCAGGGAGAGTGGGAGAGGGAGAAGCAGGCTTCCTGCCGAGCAGGGAGCTCCACGCAGGGCTCGATCCCAGGACCCCCAGATCATGACCTGAGCCGAAGGCAGACGCTTAACGACTGAGCCACTCAGGCGCCCCTCATT